ACGTCAAACGTAACAAAGAGTTACATTACAATTACGGAGTAGATTATTTTTTTTTAAACAAAAACACCGTGAACCACTAACGATTTTATTTCTTGTGTTTATCTGATAAATAAATTGAATTTAAAAAAATGTTGTATTAAATTTCGTCGGGCACGAAGTGCTCATCATTGTTACAACAGAAATGCATTGACGGGTAAACCTCCTATCAGAGCATGTGGTTTTATTTCTATAAGAGTTTACAATGTTTTACATTCATCAATTTACTTGTTCATATTTATTTACACTTTTCATGCTTTTACCGAGTATCCGGGTACTCGATCGGAAAAACGTCCGAGTAACCGAGTATTAAAAATTGACCGATTTGACTTCCCTAATATATATATATATATATATATATATTAAAAAAAGTAAAAAGAAAACACAAAAATCCTCAGTTAAGCTTTAGCGCTTTCATTTTTCAATCTTCAGAAGCTTACAATAGTATCATAGTAACAGTGATTATGACGTCATGTTACTTTTTTTAATATATATATATATATATATATATATATATATATATATATATATATATATATATATATATATATATATATATATATATATATATATATAAGCACTAAAAAACCAACAACACTGTATATCCTAAATGTCGGATCTACGAAGTAGATACAAGGTCACTGATGGAAATTTATAAAAAGCACTAAAAATGACCACGACACGAACAATAAAAAATGTCAAATTTTGGGGACGCCCTGTCCCTTCCTCAGGACAAAGAAAAAAGTTAAAAAGTCATAAGAACAAAGGAAAAAGAGAAACAAAAACAACTAGCACTACCACTAAACTACTAAACACTAGATATTTACGAGGGTTGTCCCGTAAAATCGTGGACAAAGCGTTTTTCTCGAAAAGTAATGGGCGCACTTAGCTGAAAATTTCAGTAAATGTATATTTATCATATTTAAGTGCATGATAATTTTTTTGGTAAAATATAGGCAAAAATAAAGATTTTATTATGCTAGATTGTGCACGAGGTATTGTCCTACGGCGCACGGTCAAAAAACCAAGGTTTTATTAAAGAATACACAAGTTTGAATTCAAAATTAAAGTTTTAAATACATAAGATTTGGATTAAAATTATCCTAATTCAATTCCACAATCAATTTTGCAGTCTTTGTAAAAATTTTAAGGCATTTGCTTAATTTTTGGCAGTTTCTCGAGCATTCGAAATGGGAAAGTGGTAAACACAACACACGAAAAATGGCGACGTTTTATGACGTTACGGCGCACCGGAGAACAGTTCAGTTTTATTTCGATGTTGTAATGACACCTTTAGAGACTTGAAATGACCATAGAAGAAAAAAGATTATAAAAATAACACCATATCTTAAGTATACAAATGAAATAGGAGTTTTCTTAGCGAAGTTTTTTTTTGATCGAGTCCCTGGGAAGTACAAAACATACGGACAGACTCCTAATGTAATAGCAAAAGACGCTGTCACAGTAGACCGCCGATATGAGATTTTCTATCAGTTGAATGATGGCGAGAATATTGTCCGTAACTTACTAATAAATCTTCAGAAGATCGCAATAGGGTGCCAATTGGTTCTTCGACTGTTTATGGAGACTAAAGAATGTGTATCAATGAAATTCCGAAATTTAAGTCGGACTCATCCAACTTCATTTTCAGCAAAGATAAAACGTGACGCTGTTTTAAACACTTTGACGTTATAATCCATGCGCCGTAAGGTGATACAATGCATGGCATAAAATCTCATAATTTGCTTATTTATGCATATATTTATCTGAAATTTGCTGTGTATATTACTAAAATATGTACTAAATAATAGTAAAAATTTCAGAACGCAGTGATGTTTATTTTTCACACTAGACAACTTGTCCACGATTTTACGGGACAACCCTCGTACATACTTAATTACATGTTGAATTGATGATAATTTTTGCTCCATTTAGCTTACCTGAGTCTTTGTGATCATGTGAGCCTTTGTGATCAAAATTGGGCCGTTGTCGTCGTTGTTGTTGTCGTAAATGGTTCTCCTCAAGAACCAATCGGGTCAAGAAAGAGGAAACTTATTTGGAATCATCCTCTTGTATTGTAGATTCAAGTTTATTCAAATCATGACCCCCGGGCGTAGGATGGGGCCACAATGGACGAATAAAGTTTAACATAGGAATATTTATTTAGGAAAAATCTTTGACAATCTTCTCATTAACAGCAAAGTTATGATTTGGTAATATTTATATGGAAGCATCCTCAGATAGTGTTTGTTCAAATCATAATCCCACCTTTTTTTATGTAGGTTGGGGCCACTAAACTGGGTTTTGCATTTTCCCTAGCCACAGTACTCAGGTGAGCGATGTGGCCCCTAGGCCTCTTGTTGATAAGAAACTGGCTAAATCAATCGATTTGACGATTTTTACTGAATTACTCTAATACTCCTGAAAACACTCTCAGAAGTCACGAAAATATTGATAATGACATTTTTTAAAATTCACAAAAGTTGGTGATAGGCACTTGTTCTTGTAAACATTGCTGCACCATTTTTTCCTACAGTTTGTAAGGAAGCAACGGGTTGTTTTGGACTATTTATAGACAAATGCAATACATCTGCCATAAAATCAACCGAAAAAAACCTTATGTAAAACAATGTTGACAATGTAGTTCAAATATGGATTTCCTTTCAATCCCTGTAATAGAAAAAAGCATTCGTATATATTATATCTGAGGAGGGGTTGCATTTGTTGAAAATAAATACTGCACATGTTTTGAAATTTTCTAAAAGCATTCAGTTGAACAAAAATGTTAACATATACAAAGGTACAGAATTGATCAAAGATAAGAAAAGTTTTCTAATACATGTATGGTGAATTTCGACCAGCTTGTGAAGAACGGTATTTGAGGGTAGAGTAGTTGTCGGATTCTTCATTGGCACCTTATATGTTCTTTATTTCAGCCCGTTATTTTCCTTAAAAGTCAATGTTGAGCTACATTAAAATGTAAATATTCTTATTGCAAAAGAGCTTCCGTATATTGTCATAGTGTAAAAGTAAGTTGTCTACTGCTGAAAGGTTTTCTGAAATAAAAAATTTGATCGTGTGTTTTTCTTTATATTTTGAAGGATATAAATCATGCATGCTAATTGATTTTTTTAATTTTAAAACATTTAAAATACAGTAATTCAGAAAACTCCAAATAAATACAGAAAAATGTATGGACTGACCTTATGAGCAATCTAATTTTCCCCACTCAAAAAAAAATCTTTTCTATGAATAAAGGATCGTTGTATAAGAATGAACAAATGTTGCAAAAAGTAAAAGTTTTTTGTTATAAATGTGTATAGTATGGCAAAAAGTAAAAGTTTTTTGTTATAAATGTTCATACTATTTACATTTGGAATGAAGTTTCCCACTACAAAGGTATATACATTGTACACGAACATATGCCTAATGAAAATTATATTTAAAAAATGAAATATGTTAATGCAAAAAATGGATTTAAATTATTAATAATTAAAACTTAATTGCATTCTTTTAAGATTTAAAATAAAATAGCTTTCTATGTTCTAAAATGTCCATACTTTTTTTTTTTTAAGTTATTAATACAATTATTTTATTTGGCCCTGAGAATTTCTCAAAAATCAAAACCGCTCAGTTTAGGTTGCAAATGCAGTATTTATTAGTTGGAGTGTTAGTGACTACGTATCTATTAATCATGACGTAATTTTCCCTGTAGTTAATGCACTATGACGTCATAAAATGCATCATTTTCTTATTATACCCCCCGCTTGAAAAGCGGGAGGGTATATAGTAATCGTTAATTCCGTCCGTCTGTACGTCTGTCCGTCCGTCCGTCCGTCCGTCCGTCTGTCTGTCCGTCCGTCCGTCTGTTACGCTTTGGGGTACCCATCTCTTATCCGCAACTCCTCTCATACCACTGAATGAAATTTAATGAAACTTTCACAGAATCTTTATTACATATTGCCATTGTGCACCTCCTATTTTACTTTTTGATCTGACATATATTTTGGATTTTCCAGAGCAAAACATGGACACTGCCATTTTATTCATATGGGAGGCGGGGGGTATCATTTAGTGAGCTCATTGCTCACAGTACCTCTAGTTTCCTGTAAGTTCCTTTAAAATGGCCTAAAGTTGAAGTACTTTTTCAATATTTCATATAGAGCGCATCCTCTGATCCAAAGTATGCAAATACAGATTGAAAGATCTGTTTCTGAAGATAAAAAAAAAACATGTATTTTTGGGATCGTGGGCTGTGCTTATACTTTAATTCTTTGCTGAAGGTAGTCAAATACGCATTTTACAATGCAATTTCTCAAAGCCTGGTTTCCAACATCTAAATTCTTAAAAAGTTCTTTTATTATACGATCGAAAGCGCCAACTCTCTACTTTATTTCGATATATGATATGGGATAGAGGTTGATAGTTAATTTATTATACCCCCCGCTTGAAAAGCGGGAGGGTATATAGTGATCGGGATTTCCGTCCGTCCGTCCGTCCGTCTGTCCGTCCGTCTGTTACGCTTTTTCTCTTATCCGCAACTCCTCTTATACTACTGGGTGAAATTTAATGAAACTTTCACAGAATCTTTATTACATATTGCCATTGTGCACCTCCTATTTTACTTTTTTATTCGACACGTATTTCGGGTTTCCCAGAGCAAAACATGGACATAGCCATTTTTGTTTATCTATGACGTCACATAATAGAAGCTTCTGGATAACATTTGATAGGACGAGTTATTACTCTTTACACATTACCGTAAAACAATATAAAGCAACACATGGACATTATGGGAGGCGGGGGGTATCATTTAGTGAGCTCATTGCTCACAGTACCTCTAGTTGATCATATAAGTACAGGAAAATTTTATGCATAAAGTGAACCTACCTCTTTTGACAAAAAAATTTGGTTTTATACATAATGTTTAGACATAGACGAGTGTTCAAGTAATCCATGTGATCATGGAGGAACGTGCCACAATTTATGGAACAGATTTACCTGTACTTGTCCAGATGAATATTATGGAACACGATGTGAAAACAGTAAGTGCCGATCTTTTTGGAATTTTATTGGAAATATATTCAGTCAAAAGAAAATATCTGCACAAATTAAATCTATTTTCAATGTTATCGCAAGGATTTTAAAAAGAAATAAATATGTTTTATTGGAAATTCTTCGTTGTTTATAATTTTACTTATAACCTTTTTGATTCCATTGCTACAACATGCAAAACTTGAACTAAATGCCTTCAACTGATAGTCCTAAAGGTAATGTGTAACATCACTGTCTCGGCATAATACTATTACATGTATATTGCTTAGTCCATTACTACAATTATCCACGATTTCAACACTTTAACATAGTTTTAATAACCCCGCTCTGAAGGAGAAAGGGGTATCCTTTTTTATTCGTGTGTCTGTCTGTCCGTAACAAATTGATATGAATTCTAGCACACTGTTTGTTGAAAGAAAATTGTCTCTTTACGTCGTGGTCATATCACTGGTTCAATTTCAAGTATAATACATTTGAGAAATCATCTCAAGAACAGCAAACCTTTGATTAGCATTTATAAATCAGATGGAAACACCCCAAGGAAGTATGAATTTAAGTTGTGATGTAAGGAGGATATGGAAATAACGAACAGTATTCAATCTGAAAGTGAAATAAAACAATACAAAATAAGAGCAGAGCAAACACGGACCTCCGAAACAGCAGAGGTGGGATCGGATGCCTTGAAGGCCTAAGCATCCCCTGCTGACCGGTCACACCCGCCGTGTGCTCCTTGTCTTGATCAGGAAATAACGGAAAAATCCGTCGTCAATTTAGTGTATAAATAATGGACTAACAACTAGTATGAAAAACGTCAGTCAGCATTTAACTCATGATAAATTGCATTTGCTGACAAGGAGATGATTTATATTGTGTCCCCAAAAGTGCCTTTTTGAATTAAATGCTGAAACATTCATTTTATATTCAGCATGTACAAAACCAGAGAATTGCCAGCATCAAAGGTGTAGCACTCGAGAAAACTACATTTGTACCAAATGCATTGATCAGGGAACAGATCGAAAACACTCAATCTATTACGTTTCTCCAAATAATAAAACATGTGAAGGTATGTCTTTAAAAATATTTTTTAACACGATTTAGATTTCTAAAAGAGAATTGTTAAAAAAAAAGAAAATAAGAAAGAATAAATGACATGAGACATCGGAGCTATTATGTAAATCAAAGATCTTCCAAAGTATTCAAAGTGTTAACAAATTTGAAAACGTCATGAAATTGTACTGCAACAATTAATAATACTTATGCTTTTGATAAACAGCTACCTGTTCTTGGAAGCAAAACTGGTGTTGGCCGGGAACTTGCACCCAAAACCTTGCAAAGAACTGTCATTGTAGTGATGGGTTTCAGTTGTCATCAAGGGACTCACACAAAATCTGCAATCGTATGTTTTAGTTTAGAAGAAATATTAACATAGAAAGCACACAGAAATTCACTTTTACATGGATACCCACTTCCGCCCCAGCCCGGGGTTGTAGTGTAGGGCAGCGCCGCGAGAATTCCAAGCAAGTTTTTTGACTTGCCTAGATAGCCGAGCGGTCTAGCGCGCTGTTCCTGCACTGCTAGGAGACAGATTCCGAAGGTCGAGAGTTCAACCCCGGGCTGGGGCAAAGTGGGTATCCATGTAAAAGTGAATTTCTGTGTGCTTTCTATATATATATATATATATATATATATATATATATATATATATATATATATATATATATATAAACACATTTTACAACAACTCTTAAACTAACATAACTGCCCTAAGTGAAGAAATATTAATATAGAAAGCACAAAGAAATTCACTTTTACATGGATACCCACTTCCGCCCCAGCCCGGGGTTGAACTCTCGACCTTCGGAATCTGTCTCCTAGCAGTGCAGGAACAGCGCGCTAGACCGCTCGGCTATCTAGGCAAGTCAAAAAACTTGCTTTCGATGCCGATGGAATTCTCGCGGCGCTGCCCTACACTACACGGTCATTGAGAAGAGAAGTGAGATACAGTTATTTGGACATTAGTTTTAACAGAGGATTGTTACCAATACATGTTGTAATGAAATTAATTATTATTCATAAAGCACATTTTACAACAACTCTTAAACTAACATAACTGCCCTAAGTGAAGAAATATTAATATAGAAAGCACAAAGAAATTCACTTTTACATGGATACCCACTTCCGCCCCAGCCCGGGGTTGAACTCTCGACCTTCGGAATCTGTCTCCTAGCAGTGCAGGAACAGCGCGCTAGACCGCTCGGCTATCTAGGCAAGTCAAAAAACTTGCTTTCGATGCCGATGGAATTCTCGCGGCGCTGCCCTACACTACACGGTCATTGAGAAGAGAAGTGAGATACAGTTATTTGGACATTAGTTTTAACAGAGGATTGTTACCAATACATGTTGTAATGAAATTAATTATTATTCATAAAGCACATTTTACAACAACTCTTAAACTAACATAACTGCCCTAAGTGAAGAAATATTAATATAGAAAGCACAAAGAAATTCACTTTTACATGGATACCCACTTCCGCCCCAGCCCGGGGTTGAACTCTCGACCTTCGGAATCTGTCTCCTAGCAGTGCAGGAACAGCGCGCTAGACCGCTCGGCTATCTAGGCAAGTCAAAAAACTTGCTTTCGATGCCGATGGAATTCTCGCGGCGCTTCCCTACACTACACGGTCACTGAAAATAGAAGTTAGATACAGTTATTTTGTCCAAAGGTCGAGAGTTCAACCCCGGGCTGGGGCGGAAGTGGGTATCCATGTAAAAGTGAATTTCTTTGTGCTTTCTATATTAATATTTCTTCACTTAGGGCAGTTATGTTAGTTTAAGAGTTGTTGTAAAATGTGCTTTATGAATAATAATTAATTTCATTACAACATGTATTGGTAACAATCCTCTGTTAAAACTAATGTCCAAATAACTGTATCTCACTTCTCTTCTCAATGACCGTGTAGTGTAGGGCAGCGCCGCGAGAATTCCATCGGCATCGAAAGCAAGTTTTTTGACTTGCCTAGATAGCCGAGCGGTCTAGCGCGCTGTTCCTGCACTGCTCGGAGACTGATTCCGAAGGTCGTGATTTCAACCCCGGGCTGGGGCGGAAGTGGGTATCCATGTAAAAGTGAATTTCTTTGTGCTTTCTATATTAATATTTCTTCACTTAGGGCAGTTATGTTAGTTTAAGAGTTGTTGTAAAATGTGCTTTATGAATAATAATTAATTTCATTACAACATGTATTGGTAACAATCCTCTGTTAAAACTAATGTCCAAATAACTGTATCTCACTTCTCTTCTCAATGACCGTGTAGTGTAGGGCAGCGCCGCGACAATTCCATCGGCATCGAAAGCAAGTGTTTTGACTTGCCTAGATAGCCGAGCGGTCTAGCGCGCTGTTCCTGCACTGCTAGGAGACAGATTCCGAAGGTCGAGAGTTCAACCCCGGGCTGGGGCGGAAGTGGGTATCCATGTAAAAGTGAATTTCTTTGTGCTTTCTATATTAATATTTCTTCACTTAGGGCAGTTATGTTAGTTTAAGAGTTGTTGTAAAATGTGCTTTATGAATAATAATTAATTTCATTACAACATGTATTGGTAACAATCCTCTGTTAAAACTAATGTCCAAATAACTGTATCTCACTTCTCTTCTCAATGACCGTGTAGTGTAGGGCAGCGCCGCGAGAATTCCATCGGCATCGAAAGCAAGTTTTTTGACTTGCCTAGATAGCCGAGCGGTCTAGCGCGCTGTTCCTGCACTGCTAGGAGACAGATTCCGAAGGTCGAGAGTTCAACCCCGGGCTAGGGCGGAAGTGGGTATCCATGTAAAAGTGAATTTCTTTGTGCTTTCTATATTAATATTTCTTCACTTAGGGCAGTTATGTTAGTTTAAGAGTTGTTGTAAAATGTGCTTTATGAATAATAATTAATTTCATTACAACATGTATTGGTAACAATCCTCTGTTAAAACTAATGTCCAAATAACTGTATCTCACTTCTCTTCTCAATGACCGTGTAGTGTAGGGCAGCGCCGCGAGAATTCCATCGGCATCGAAAGCAAGTTTTTTGACTTGCCTAGATAGCCGAGCGGTCTAGCGCGCTGTTCCTGCACTGCTAGGAGACAGATTCCGAAGGTCGAGAGTTCAACCCCGGGCTGGGGCGGAAGTGGGTATCCATGTAAAAGTGAATTTCTTTGTGCTTTCTATATATATATATATATATATATATATATATATATATATATATATATACATTGTAACTATATATTGTACATGTGTATACGTATCATTAACGTGATTCATAAAAAGAGTTTGTTTGTTTTTTTCCAGTTAATATTGCACCTAATTTGGAAACCTGTCGACTGGGCGTACAAAATATTGGAGGCGAAGCACGTAATTCTACGTCTATAGGACCATGCCTCCAGGAGAAATATAATTATATGAAGTTTCAACCAGTTAGTTCGTCATTTGTGTTTTCATTCGGGAGCACGATAAATGTTTCATCCAATGTTCCGGACCACATTTCAGAATATCAGTTTGGTATCGTTAACACAACGATTTTAGTTTCAACGAGAAATATCAATGGTATATATATAAAATATTTTTTTTACAACATTGTATTTAAATTAGTACATTTATCTATTGATATACTCTTGTGAAATAATATTCTTTTATAATAATAAGATGGAGAAAGATGATATTGAGTAATATATACTTTCATTTATTTTTCCGAAGGCCATCAAAAGAACAAAAAGTATTTAAATCCAAAGCAGACAAACAGTTGTTCCAGAAATAATTTTACCGACACAAATCCTATATCGACCATTATTACCTGTAAAATGACTATTGCAACAACATGGGTTATACAAGATGGGGAACAGTGAGTAATTAAGCTTGCAACGACATAAATATGAAATCTCTATGGAATCATGGATATATACAATATTTTACCATTTTAAAAATAAAAATGGCATTTATATTTCTTTTCATATTGTCAAATGAGTTGGCACGCATGCCTGTGCCAAAATTTCACTGGTCGTTCATTAATCTAATTCAATATTCTCTAGCAATCGTTGCGCAGTGGTGTGTGCGTATGCTCTAAAGCAGTAAGGAAATAATCCTTACGTCGTGAATTTAATTCCTACTACGCGGAGACCGATACAAGACCGTAAAACCGTGTCGCATTAAGTAGCTATAACTGACACGAAAATGAACACTCGCCTTTCAATTGCCTCGAGTACCCAGCATAGGTCTTATTGCATCTCTCCACTAGCAAAAACTGCTTCTCAATATGAGTGAAAAAGGTCTAGTAACTAAAACGAGACTTCCCTTGATGCATAGTGTAGAAGCATATACGAGGGGTGTTAGAAAAGTTCGCGGACAAGTTCTATTGTGAGCGCACTATTTTCACGAAACCTGTCAAACTTTCCAGATAAAATCTTTACCTTTGTTCCAATAAATAAACAAGAATTTGGTGCTCACCGATGAGGGTATATGACTGTTTTATAGCCGTTTATAAATGATCAACGCGTAAAACACTGCCAAAAATCGGAACGTCATGGAGCACTGCACTAAGTAAAAATTATGTATGCAGACTGGAAAATGTCTAAAAAGAGATTAAAATGTTCAAGATGCTGAAGGGAATTTCCTACACCTACAAAAGACAAGTTTTCAAATGGTTGTAGCTTCATAATAATGGAAAGATTAACATTTTGAATGATTAACTCCATTGATACTTCACTACCCCCGTATCGCATGGACGTTGCCTTGCACCTATATGGTTTTGCAGTTTCCATACCTGATCGATTAACTGCACAAACCTTTTTTAAGATCTCAATAATATCCGCATCAGTACAAAAACTGAGACATTATAGAAGAAAAGTAACATGTCTTGATACAGTTATTCAATTTTAAAGTAGAAAAAAGATAAGAAAAATATGAAAAGAACTGCGACAAAGCTTAACAGGTTGAAATCTGGTTGTCACGTCGCGTGACAAGTGATTGCTCCGTGAATCCTATGACCTCATAATTAAAATCGTTGTAAATTTTCAAGATTGTATTATATGGAACTGATTTTTTACATACCAATGAACAAAATGTAGGATTTTATTCAAACATAGGTAATACTTCACAGTACACAATAGATTATCCGTAATTAAATGTGTCCGCGAACTTTTCTAACGACCCCCGTAGAAGTCGATTTATGTAAGGATTCATCTAATCGAAAATATCTATCCGGTCGATGTAATGAACCGTAATTTTGTTTAAACTGAGAACGTCAATCTCTAAATTGGATGTCCAAGTCGAATTATCGTAGACATCCCTGGTTAAAATCAATTAGATTTAATTTAATTTAATTAAGATTTTCTTTTTCATTTGTAACATCAGATAAAACCTGCGATGCCAAATCTGTTAAAATTTTTCATTACAAAAAAATATTTCATACAGATTTAGAATTTTTTTTCGATTTTACAAATTTCAGAATTCATAATTTCAATTCTTATAACTCCTTTAAACGGATTTAATATTTTAATGGTGCGACTGCTACGGCTACTTTAGATTTTTGGTAAGGTCCGTCTCTTCAATACGCATGTATAATTGGAAGTCTTGCCCCTGATGTCATATGTTGATTACCAAACCAAAGAATGAACATTGCTATATTGTTCATAAGATAAAACGTTTGAGTTACTATATACTCAGCAAAAATTCAAAATTTCTAAAATACAGGCGGGTTATGTTTTTTTTTTTACAGATGCTATTGCAAGAATGTGCAAAGTCTAAATTTTCTCTAATTTGTTCAGGCGTTGCTCTTAAGAGCCGGCAGTGACTACCGGTAACAACGGGAACGTTGCTCGCTGTGCTTGGTACAAATATTTCGAGCGAAATTTAAATAAAATATCTCTAAGAATTATCTAAATAAAAATTATAATTCTTGTTTTCACCCAAAATATTTAATAGCATATTCTGCTGTTTTATAAAGGCTTTGTATGGAGTTCACAGCATATGCTGGAGGATACCTGAAAACGAAGGATTTCTATGGCAACCCTTCACTCCCTCATATATACCGTACTACACAGTCATCATATGAAGTGTGCATGAGACGAGACTCTGCGGCACCGAAACACTGTTTAGAAGATAATTCTTGTACAAAGAATGAAGTTATTCTTTTTGAAAATCGAATTACTAATTCGGTAGACTTAAACATCTCACTCAAAGGCTGGTTTGATCCTTATCGTTTCGCCCCTGAAGAAGCCTCTGGAATTCAAAGTTACTCAATTACAATACATGATATGAAAGAAGTCGATGAATCAACACTTTCAATGGATGAAGCCAGTGTATTAACTCTGAATATTTCAAGTGACGTTGACTCAATTCATCTGCCTGATAAACAGCCCGCCTTGTACGGCGTTTCACTTAATATCCTTGATAATGCTGGTAACTTCAAACAAGCAAGACGATTTGTATTGTTTGATAAATCATCAGAGATTCATATCAATGCAGAAAACAAACTTAGAGTATATACCGGAAATAAAGCCACAAACTTTACGTGGCAGACGAATCATGGGAAGATTTGTGTACACTGGGTTGAGCGATATTACAATTCTTTTCATATTCATCATAATTTGCTAAGAAAAATAAAAGCTGACTATCACAATCTTTATAATGGAGTTTATGAACAGTACAATGGTCAACTTCCAGTGAAAGGGACGCCAAATATTCATGGAATTCTTGAATTTCGTTACGTTTTTGCCCTTAACAATAGGGTGTTGGATAATAAAACTGCTCCAAATTTCCTAAATCAGTCGATTTGTGAAAATTACAGCATAAGGGATGGGGAAACGTATGATATCACCGTCATTCCGAGAGATGTAATGGACAATACAATTAATGAAACCATCGCAGTTCATATAGATACAAGCGTACCTGACATTGTCGAAATGTACTTGATAAAAGATGGAGTGCGTCATTTGTTCGTTCATAATTCCACAGACCTTTCGAGAATGAAGATATCCTTTAGAGCTTTGGATGAACACAGTGGACTAAATTCTATTGAATGGATGCTGGGCACATCTCCTGATGGTGGGGAGCTAGGAAGAGGTTCCATTGCAGTGAATCGTCTGGAACCTGGGGTAAGCTTAGTCAATGAAGTGGTAGGATAAATTTGTGACCAAATGCAATAATTCTTACATGATGCTTAATTAATATCCTTGCAATGTATTTTAGGTAACTTGTAACCATACGGAAAATTGCTATTGCCCAAAAGTTGGAGTTTGTGAGAAAGCCCTGTACAGCGTGAAGTTCAATAGCTTGATCAAGAATAATAAACAGAACGGGCACCACAACCGGGAGTATTTTTTTACAGTTAAAGTAACTAACAATGCTATGCTGGTAAGTATTTCTAGAACGGATATCTTAGCTGATGATTCCCCTCCCGTAAGTGGAAATGCTATGGAAGGAGAAATTGGATCCCAAGAGATAGACTATACTTGTAATAGAGAAATAATCGTGAGGTGGAGCGGATTTATTGATCATGAGAGTGGTATTAAAAAATATCGGATTGGATTCAATGACAAGTGTTTGTCAAGAGAAGATTTACTTCATAATAATCATGCTACGCTTCTAAGTTATATTTACGAAACAAATGAGCAGCAAATCAAAGTGCGTGCGGACCACCCGGGTCTGTACTTTACAAGTGTAATTGCTTATAATTATGCTATGGAAGCTTCGGAAGTGGCGTGCTCCAATGGCATTACATACGATATCTCTCCACCAAAATTATACAATATAATTTTAGAGCACGCAAAAACAACAGAAGGCATTGCATGTTACAACAGGACTCCGTGGTTAATACTCCAAAATTTCACCGCTGTCAAACTAGAAATGACGCAAGCTTGCCAGAAAATATGCAACGAAAGCAGTAAAGAATTTCCGCTTTTAGAGAACATGTTCTATGTAAAGCAAGAACATTTTAATGATACATCCTACGCGGACTCAATATGCAAGAATTTAGGGATATATTTTAAAAACATTAAAGTATATATTCCCTCAGACACAATTTCTCTTTCTTGGAATGTCACCGACTTAGAAACACAGATACATGACATTTTAATTGGGTTTGCATCGACTAAATCACAATCTGAAACACCCGACATTTTATCGTTTACACCTGCTAAGCGTTTGCAGAGTGATAAACGTTTGCATTCAGCACTTGACTCAGGAACTCCTTTTTATATCACAATAAAAGCCACAAGTAAAGCTGGCTTGGAAACATCTGCAACAATAGGCCCAGTGGTAATTGACGATACACCGCCTTTATACAGGGGCGGTGTCAACATTGTTTTGGGTGATAAGTTTGCATTTGTTGCATGGACCAATGAGACATTTGTTGACGAAGAACAGGATGAGCCAATATCAATGGTCTTGTTCAAAATAGGTTTGTTGTCTACTAAATTGCATGGTAATTAAACTTTACTTTAATACCATATATATTTATATCTATTGTTGATTTTATATATTTTAGGGCAAGGATCCACTTTTAAAACTCCACTTCTGCAAGGTTACCTTTCCAACAGCTGTCCAAATCCAACTGATAATCGAACTTGCTT